TGATCACGTATTGCAGCCGGACTTTCAGAGATGAAGGGTTTCTTTTAGAGATGTCTTTTACTTGCACTAAATATCTGCGTAAGACTAAATATTCCCCACTGTTCAGAACATCTAGATCAGTTGTCCTCTATAATATTTACTGTTCAGCAAAGCTCTTGCCCCGACTGAAAACTGTGATTCTGTGAAAAGTTATCCAAACAAACTGCTCAGGATTTCACCTTGTCCTTTTTTACCCCTTGACTCAGATGTCCTGTGTGCTTTGTCACACGCGAGAATATTCAGTTAGAACAGCTGTCAGCCCCCAAAACCACATGCAGACATCTGATCTAAGAGCAGCATGCCCGCTGATATCTGACACAGCACTATCTCAGTCAGAGAGCAGCAAAAACCACCCTGTATGATGATTTAGCATCTTTCAGCTGTGGGTTTCACAACCTAAATCTCTACTACATGCTGTAGTTTCACACTTAATACAGTATTTTGCCAATATATGTCCTTCTCAGGGGCAAGATCTCCTTGGTAAAGAATTAGTAATGACTTTCTTGTAATGCTGTTAACGTATTTCACTAAGGGGTTAAATAAGTTTAAGTTAGCAGGAAAATGTCAGTATAAAGTTCTTTTACTGCTATAAGAGTGAACCTAAGGGGAGCAAAACAAATGATTTTGAATCTTTGGAGGAACAAAACTGCAATAACTACACAGAAAATAGGAGCTGTATTGCTGAAATAGGTATTACCTAGTATATTCGATTATCTCATGGCTTCTCCTTGTACTGAGACAAAGTTATACGGGGTGTAACTCCATTGATTTTAAGTCAGTACCACCACTGCTGGGATAATTTGGTGCTTCTTAGTGATGTTAAGAGTGAATCATAGGGGCTCCAAACAAGTTACTAATGTACCGACTGTGATTAGTTGTATTGCCTACATGAAACTGCAGTCCATGTTACTAGAATTTAGAATAGAATCGAACTCAAAAGTAGAGTTAATCACTCTAGTGAGGATTATTTTAAAGTGTTGGATATGAGATCTAATAAGGACTCTTTGATACTATAACATTATGAAGTTTTTCTTGTACTGAACCTAGGGGGCCCAGTGCAACCCCAAGGAATGCAATCACAAAGCCAGGAGCCATTGCAGCCCCAGCGCATGTACCCCCCTGGGCAGGCAGCAAAACCCTCGGCTTCCCAGCCCCAGCGTCCGCCCGGACCTACAACTCAGCAGCCACGTCCCCAGGCTCAAGGTCCTGCCAGCACCCGGTTATCAAAGGAAGCAGAGCCACAGCCACAGCCAGCTCCACCTCCTGCTCCACAGCCTGCTCCACAGCCTGCTCCACAACAGAAGCCTCAGTCTCATCCCCAGCTGAAGTAAGATTCACTTTATCCATTTTCTTTTTTTTTCTAATAACACAGATTCTGTTGCCGTAGCTGTAATTTGGGAGTTGGTCTTGTATTCAGGATAAAATGTACAGGTGTTCCCAAGTCAAAAATGAGGTTAAAACATTCCAGAAAGCTTATTCTCTGTGTGTGATTAGTAAGACAGCATCATTAGTTATATCCTAAGCACCACACAAGAGTTCATTTATTAGTAGCGCAGTTTCTGCCCCAACTGGGTCTCAAAACTCATCATCTTTCTCATATTTGTTGTCCTCTTTTCATGTCACTGACTCACAATCTGGGTGTGCTGTAAGCCTGCACAGAAAAAAAGGAAGTCTTATCTATGTAAACTTTTAACCCTGCAGTCGCTGAGACAACAGATTCCAGTTTCAAAGGCCTGTCTCAGAAACAATCCAAGTGCACACGCTGGACGCTGGCTGCCGAACTGTGCTTGCTCATGGTCACACGTTGCTTGTGGCTGTACACTGCCACTGAGTGCCCGGCACAAGCAGTTCACACCCGCCCTTTTCAGCCCTTCCACAGGAAGCTGCCTGTAGTTCTCTCACTTACTGGAAGAATCCTTAAAGCACAGCATCCTGTTGTTGCTGTATCTCACCAGTCGCATACTGCAGTAAAGAGTATGGGAAGGATCTGGAGCTGTATCTCCTCTTAACAGCCTAAACCCAGCCAACAGAAAACATGGGGAGGTGTTAGCAGTGATTTGTTGTCTTTCAACATAGCAATCCTGACACATGCTATTGCTGGTAGAGTCACAGACACATTCTACCTCCTATGGTAAGTACAAAGGCTGGTGTGCAGTCTTTGTTTTAGCCAGGTAACACAGATCCCCTTTTTCCACCCACTCACATGCTTATACCTGTGTGAACCACTTCTGAGTCCTCACCTGAGCATAATTCAGTGGAAAAGATGTATTAGGGATCAGTATGCAAAGATGATTCTGTTTTCCTTGCCTTCCCAGGACAGTGTACTTCTTTATTCTGTTTTATGATCCTAAAACTCAATTCATCCATTATTTAAGTATAGGTAGAAAACAGGAAGGTCGGTTTTCTTAAGCAAGATGGAGACTACATTATAGTTTGAAATTTAACTTGTGAACTTTTGGCATTTAAGAAAACCAGTTAAGAATGAATTGTAGCACAAACTGCTTCTCAGCTTTGTCCCTTTCCTTTAATTCCTAGTTCAAATCTGGATTCCTTTTTCTCTTCTTCAAACAGGAGAGAATACTCTCTATTTAAAATGAAATAAAAAAGGAGAAATGAAAGTTTTTAAGATGCAAGCCATAATAGGAGTAGTTTTCCTAACTTTCAAGACTCAGATCTCCTGCCTGTAGGATTAACTCTATCTATTTGCATGTGTATGCTTTGTATTCACCCACATGCTGTTGCCTAACCTGTATGTACATGTTATTAATCTGTGAATAAATATTTAATTAGGCTACTTATTGTGTTACTAATCAAGTCAAGTGCTGCTTCCCACCCTCCCTCTTTCAGGGAGCACAAACAAACATTTATCAGTCTATTCTCATTAGCACAACTATAATTTATGAAAAACCTAAACCGCCTGCAGCACTGTTTGCTGTACATTATTAGTTTAGAGGGAGAGAAGCTGCAAACCATGAAGAGTGTAAGAATCTGAATAAATGTGTCGGTTTTACTATAGCCAAAACTCAAATCCTATTATAGAACTGAGATAAAACCAAAATCACATTAGTTTTACTAATGCATGGGTGCCTTGGTAAAAAGATTACAACTCATTAATGTTTTCTATTTAAATTCAAGCCTACTTTTTAAATATTGTTTTATCTGACAAGTCAGGAGTTAAGGTTTTAAGCTTCAGATATTTTCTTTCTTGTTTCTTGTTTGGTTCATGCTTACAGAAACTTAGACCATAGTTACATGCTAGCACTAAAAACCCGAATAGCATTGCTAGACTAGCTGCTCATAGACAAGCAAAATTGTATCTGATTTGGGGTGTTTTCTTAAAGGCATAAAGTGTCATTAAGTCTCCATGAAGGTTCAGCTATCAAACACATATACAGACAGAGCACATGACAACTTCAGGATTCATTTTTCAAACTCTTGCCAATGCATATATAATTTTTCTGTGGCTATAACTGTTTGCAGCCTCAATGAACACAGTTGTTAATCATCCCGTGTTGGGTGGTGATTTGGATTTAGCAGGCAGGCCCACGTTTTCCTCAAGTACTAATCCACGTCATCCAATTTACTGGCATACAGTGTTTCAGGTGTGTAAGAAAAGCAGCGTGTTGCCTAAAGAAAAGGTTATCCTCTTAGATCAAATGTGGAGGGAAGGTGCTGTGTGGCAGCAGCTCTGTGTGCTATACTGCTAGTATACTGCTCACTATACTGCTTGTGCTGGACATGCACTTTGTTCATATGCACACTGTCTACATCTTACGGGCATTGCTCCTTTTCTCATCGCTTATACGAGTTACATGTGGGTGGACATAGACAATATGACCATGCAAAACTTGTTGCGTTTTTGTCTTGCAGCAAGTCGCAGTCTTTGACAAATGCCTTCAGTTTCACAGAATCATCCTTCTTCCGGTCGTCTGTGAATGAAGATGAAGCAAAAGCTGAAACTATTCGAAACTTGAGGAAATCCTTTGCTAGCCTTTTTTCTGATTAGCCAGCTCCACCTGAACGCAGCCAGCATATAGTCTCAAAACTCTGTGGATGTTGCCTAGGTTTTGTTTTCCCTGTGGCAGTACTTTCTCTACTGTGCTAACTGTTGTATTAAGCAATATGTTAAACTTACAGGAAAAAACAAGTTAAAAAATAGAAGAAGGACTGATGAGATACCATTCAGGAACATGTAGAAAGGTATAGAAAGAAGGAAGGGTTCTATTGCTAACACAGAATGCTGAATTCTAAGGTCCTTATCCATTGTAATATTGTGGCCTTACTGTGACTATATAATCCTATTTGAGACTCCTTTGTAGAACTGTGTTAATAAAGCACTGAGTGATGGGGTTCTCCTTGCTTTAACCATTCCCAATGCATTGCAATGCATGTGTATTTTGTGTGTAAATGTTTTGTACTGCTAAAGGATAGTCTTGACTTGTTCTTGCCTCCCAAATTTAGGAGGCAATTCACACTGACATTCTTGTCAAGCCACAGAAATAATGTGAGAAATTGAAGCAGTTTCTTCCTCCTTATACAATCTTTCCATCAGCTGGTTGTAGACTTCTGATGTATTGCTGAGAGTTACCAGTACACTAACTTAATGTCTTAAATAGAGTGTATATGTACTACTGTATCGCCATATGTCTATTTAAATTTATTTCCAAATTGTAACCATAACTGGGTTTAGTTGCAAAGAATATGCATGATGTTACCCTTATTTTTGTGAACACCTTCTAATAAATGTAAAGTCCCATGCCTGATTTAAAAATATGTCTTCTACAAAGCTTGTTTCAACACCACTATATATTGTCTATTTTGACTGGTGCCAAAGGGTAGCTTTATGATTATAAAATATTTGGACACAAACCACAACTATAAGAAAATAAACTATCACAAATAATTCCCTTTTTGAATCAGCACGAAATATATATATAAAAATTCCAGGAGTCACATTTACATTTTCTAATAAGTTACGTATTTTAAAAATGCTTCTCTCACTTGTTGAAACAGAATTGATCCCAGACTTGAAGGTAATAGCAGCAAATCTTTTAAACTCATCTAAATCAAAGTGAAATTCATTACTAATCTCTAGATTATCACTTTCCAAACGATTATCATGTCATTCTGCCTATCATGAATTACATGCAGCAGTATTCCTTGCCAGGAAACAGTGCTCACAGGGGAACCAGAGTAAAATAACTGTAATGTTAGCATGTCTGAGGGAGAAAACAAGCAACACAATGTTAACTTAAAACCCCTGTAGTATTTGTAATGGGTTTGTAGAGCCACATCTATTTGCCTCAGCAATTTTACCTTTGGTAGATGCGACAGTTTATGAAGTCTAGGTAAATCACAGTCACCACTTGATGACATAAGCCCTTTCAGCAGCTTTGGATTCTTTGGGTGAAGAGCGTGGCTTGGGCCAAGAGGTTGACAATGAAGGATGGAAACTTAGATCTCCAGTGATGTCAGAATTTAGTTTGTAGGTTAGCATCTGATAGCTCTCTGTTTGTCAACATAGACTAAGTTAATGATGTTAGCATCCATATTTCCTGAAAAGCAGGCATGTCCAAATCACTCCCCAGCTGACACCCTTTCTGGCCTGGCAATGAAGACTGAGTCAGTTGAACAACCATGCCTAGAACAATGCTGTCCTCCAGGTTAAGACTAAAATGAATATATGCGTAAGTTTGCTCTGCAACGTTACAAACTTTAAATACGTAACCTTGCCCTCTAAAGATGGAATCTCAGTCCCTCTGTTTGGCATGTAACCTCATCTTTGTGGAACAGCCCTCAGAGAAGCCTTCTTAACGAATTAATGACAATTCTCTTCCAGGAGGAGTGTACTGTGTACAGAAGCCTGTATTTCAGACAGTGAATTCTGTGGCAAAACGGAATGCATTAACTGTTAATAATAGTCCTGAGTTCATAAATATCAGCTATACTTTAATTTTTTTAAGTGTTGTTCCCCTCCTGCCCCCCATCGGCTCGAAACACCCTTCACTGGGCTACAATAACAACCCTGAGCAGTTACGGAGCCTTTCATGTCTGAGAAGCACTTTACTTTTAGATTAGAAAGATTAATCAAAGTTGCTAACGCAAATTAATTACTGCCACAGAGAAAGCATGGTAATTATGCATAGTTTGGCATGGTTCAGGATTAGTACATGCCTAGTTTCAGCAATATTGAGTACAATATGAATTACAGGTAGTTCATTAGTCCAGGCCCCAGATTTCGACTTGAGGCAAAGTTTCTCGCTCATATAAAATTCCCTCCCACCTCTTCCTGGGAGAGGACGGGTTTCACTACAGCCTTTGTTTTACCATCTGGAACAGAAAAAAGAAAGAAAGAAGGAGAAAAAAAAGAGAGCAAGATGATGCAACCAAATCTGCATGGTGTATCCTCCCACACAATGTACATAACACATTGCCTCTCCACAATGCCAAGACTTCTTTATACCTCCAAGCGTGCTAAAGCGTGTCACACGCAAGCTGATGCACGCTTGTGTTCCTTATGCAGCGTTTCATGGTTAAGACGTTTCTAAGCAATCTATAACATATCTTCACAATACTAATGAGGAAAAACGAGGTTTTCTAAAAAGTCTGTTCTGAAGTTTTATTGTCCATTTTGTCGTACTTCGTTAGATAGATTGTTGTACTTGGAGTTCAGGTGCAAACCCTAAATACCCAGTTATCCAATACAGCGCTCTCTCAGGTTGCACAAATAGTTACTGAAATAATTGGAGTGTCTGTTCCTGTTCCTTTTCAGGAGCATAAGCCTAGGAACATCAGGTCTGTATTCATGTGCACCTTTTCCTTGCAGATGCATCTTAGGATGCCACAGGTTTCTATGCACAGCACTCCATTTCTTTTTCATCTTTCACTTAAAAATCAGGAAAATATGAAGTCATGTAAGTTCAGTCTTAAGACTGAGATGGAACCATTTTCTGACCATTATTAGCCCTGAAGCCAATTCAAAACACCGAAGCAGATTTCAAGAGGTTGTAATTATGGACAGAGTGACTAATCTAGCTTTGAAACAACCACTAACTCTCCAGTCAAAATTAGTCAAAATAGTACTAAGGTACTTTGTAAATATTGTGTGTACTTTGTATACTTCCTACTCCACAAGAACAAAGTCACTTCTCCGAGCCAATGTTGTCTCAGTGAGCAGATCACATACAATAAAGCTCCTGTTTCCAAAAGGGAAAATGTCAGTGCATATTGTTGTGCACTGACTTGGTTCTTGCCAGTATTTGGATGAATGCTACAAGTAAATTTCCTAGCAAGTTTTCCATCAACAGCAGCTTCCAGCAAGGCTGGGAAGGATGCAGGTGGCTGAGTAAGTCCTAACTGCTGTCTAGTGCCTTTTTAGATCTGGTATCATGATGCCTATCCTGGTAACCAAGATAGCCACACAAGGGTTGGCAGATATGATATGGGATCTGTGGGTGAGCCGGGCTATGCCAAAATGGCAGCTGGAAGCAAGGCAGGGAATACAAAGGTGATCTACAGTGGCACCAGGTGCCAGTAGTTGGGACTGAGTTTCCTTTTCTGTAACCATTACAGCATGGACTAAGAGGCAACTTCGTTGAGCTCTGCTTTGCTTTTTTATTAGACATACATTTATAAACAAGCAAATTTTTCCTTCTTTTAAGGAGTTTTTAAAATCTCAGGAGTTTCAAAATAGGTACCTAAAGCTCAGAATTAGTTTTCCAAGTGCATATTCAGCCATGTAAATAAGCGGCCAAATCTGCACAATGTTGGGGTTTGTTTCCTCTAATTCATCCTCATTTTCTGTGGAAGAATATCCTGCCTCGAGATGCTAGTTTCAATTAAGTGTCATGAAACCCTGATTTGCTCCTCTGTAGTTACAGTCTTGCAGCTCAAAATTTACCTCAAGAAAGAATGCAAATAATGTCTGAAGTATCAAGTGAGTTCTTTAAATACAAAACAACAGGGAGACTATCCCCCTGGTTCACTTGAAGATAGCCCAGGAGTAAAAGAGAAACTGTTTTTTTCCCCCACAGATCATGCTACAAAGAATTAGAAACGGGATCACTTGGGGGGAGGAAAGGGGAATCAACAGATTCTGTATTTTTTGCTAGGATTACCAGGGCTGGAGTTTTGACTTCCATTAGCAGTGGCATTGCTCAGCACTTCCAAAGGTGGTTGCGGTGTTTAAAAAGCAATCCACTTCACATTACTTGATGTTCAAGTTTCCCACTACAGCATATGTATTATGGAGGAGAAGGTACCTGGCTTTATAACTAAATCTTTGTTCTATAGGAGTGATGGATGGTAACAGAAACTGGGCAAAATGTAAGCTAACCTGGCAAAATGAGAAGGGATTAATTGGGAGCTTAACTCTTTACACATGATTTCTGTTTGCATTTTTGCTCTCCTCCTAACTATCTCTACTTTTCTCACATGTGCCTGTTTTTCTGGCCAATCCCTATCAGCCAAATGCTACTTTAAGGATTTATAAGCTTGGAGAAGCAGCTAGGTTTTTGTTTGAAAGCAAGATTGAGAGTTGCCATGATTGCACTGCGCTCCTATATGCCTTCTAACACCATGACAACAGTTACAGTAAGTAGCACAAAACTGAAGGTTGACTGTTCTTAACCAAGAATGAACTTGTAAAAGATTGTGTAGATTTTAAAAGCACCAAGACAGGCAAAAAAGAGCTTGTGTCTGTGCAGGTGAGAAATGAAAGCAAGAAGTAGTAGTGCATGTGGGCTGGTACTTGACCACTTTGAAAGCTGTGAGCTGTTTCTCAGAAGCCTGTTACAAGTGTTTGGTTTAAGAGGTGATCTAGTGTAGGGATTTACAGCTAGGTCTGCTCCATCACTTACAGAATTACTGCAGTACTGATGAAGCTCTAGACAGTACTTTAGATGCATAAGACTAAAATTGACAAGAGCTGTTCCTCATTAGCATGCCATGTGCCCTTTGGAGGCTGGAGCTGAACCTAATGTGTGGGTCTGATTTTACTGTAACTCGGAACAGTGAAGACGGTCACCCACAGAACTACTATGCAGGTTAGGCTTTCAGTAGTGCTGCTGCTAAGAAAAACCAGGGGAAGATGATGCTGCTTTTCCTCTACCCCTCAAGTTTTTCACTTAAAATTCTGCCACTTACATTTCCTGGAATTTTGTTTGTGGAAACCAGAGCTGGTGAGCAAAACTTTTTCAGACAGTCAGAAAAAGGTGTCGGTGTGAGAGAAAGATACATGTATTTCACTGCCACCCGCTGTAATAAAACGTGATCATCTTGCAGCTTCACTCTTAAGATGCCTCCTCCCTTAAAGTTAGGGGGAATTTTTAACACAAAGAAAGAAGATGGGGTGAAGCATCCTTTCACTAAGTGCAGAATGCCATAAGCTAACACTTCACTTGCCAAGTGTGCTCTGACTTGAGATCTAATGTACAGATCTCTCCAACTGATGATTATGTAAATCTTCCAGATGGGCCCTTTAAACAGTAGATTACTATCCTGACTATATCTATCATCACTGAATACTTCATAGTTTTGGCTGGTTCAAGCCAAACTGCTGGAGTCTCTGCTTTTTGCACATTTTTCTTTGCAACCTTCACTAACAGTAGTGTCATGAGCATGGATAGATCTTTAGGCATGTTTTCCCCACATACACTTTTTTTCCTGCAGTCATACTTATTCTGAGACCACATACTCCACTGGTCTCATGCAGAAAGAAACATGGGGTGCTACTAAAGAGACTGACACTAGAATGTAGCGTGCAAACAAATTCTGCTGCCAAGGCACCATATCAGCTTGCAGTCTATGTATATGGTTTGTCTCACACAATGGATGCACCAAACAGATCTAAGTGACAGATATTCTTGCTCAAGAAAAAGGAAATGCTCCTTTCCTCTCCTCTCCTTGTGAGGAAATGGAAATTAGCACTTCCTATCCACTTGCTGAACCAGGCCTAATGGAAATGACAGTAGGTCAGAACTGTGCTGAGCTGCATTTGTTGACTGTTTGCCTTGGTGACACTTTAGGTGCATTAGGTAGCAGTAAGTGCTCTATGCTTCATCCTAAGACTCCTAGGAAACTGAGAAGTGTTTTCATATAGATGAACAGATTCTCCTTCTGATACTGTGTCTACACAATCCCAACCAGACCATTATTCATCTTCTAACAGCCCTGAAAATAGGTGTTGCTGGCCGCATCCACTGCTATTTACTGTGAAATGGCTTTTCTCATTGCTTGATGGCATTGTAACAAATTTGGGTATATAGAGGAGACCTGTAATTTAAAGGCCTATGCCCCACCTGTTAGGGGAATGTCTCTGAACTAGGATCAAGGAAGCATTCTTTTTCTTATTTAGATGGTTTTTGTCTGTTTGCAAGTCATGGCTTAATCTATGAAAAGAGAAAGGGTTGTTTTAAAAGTACAGTGTCTCAATCTCTCCAACTCAAGTTCACTTACAGGTGAGCATCACACTAGAATACATATTCGTTTACTCAGCTTTGTTCTACGGTACATTTCTGAAGACATTAGCATTTTTCACACCTTTTTTTTTTTTACTAGAAAGGGAAAGCATGTGCATTGACTCTGGGCCATAGAGAGCTGATGTAATTTCATGGCAAGAAGACTCCTGCTGCCCTTAAGAATGTTAGTACAAGTTCTGAACTGACTTACCCTCCTCTGGAATAATTATGCATTCCACTCTGGCACATTTTATCATGCAATTCTCCTGCTTTGTAGATTACATGTCTTGAGGAGGTACAAAAGGGAAGAGCAAAGACTGTTTTATTTCTATACATGCATCTAACAATTATATATACACACACACCTCAAATAGTACTTTTAAATGTAAAATTATGTGAGAATTTACTTTACAGACGTATTTAATATGCACATTAAATACAAGTATCCTTTCATGCATCAAGGAGGTGCAAGCATCTCTTGGGAGGAACACAGCGAGTATAGGGAAAATATATTGCTAAATTGCAATTGAGCAAGCTGGAACTTGTTCAGGTTAAACAGCCCACCCTCAAACTGCAAAAAGCCAAATTATGCCCTCAGCAACTTCTGAAAAGCAAACTGCCTTCAGTGGATTTCTGCAAATTTAGCTGTCTAGAGTCTGCAGCCACATCAGAATAAGTCTCCCTGATCTCGGAGATTAAGCAGTCCCCAGCCTAGTAAGTATTGAGATAAGAGCCCACTTGGCAGTTGCACATAGCAGCAATCGGTACAGGATGCGTTCGTGGTTGAGAGCTTGGATGCGAGGGTGGTGTTCAGAGTATCAGACTTACCAATAGAATAAATGCACCTTCCAAAGAGATATTAGGATGAGTTTATTATCCTTTTATCCTTTTTATTATCCTCTGTCTGCAGAAAAAGCTTAGAACAGGTTTTAAAAAAACCCCCAAAGCTGCCCTTCCTCTCCCTCATGGAAAAAGAACCCCCCAAACTGGAGGCATAAGTAGGCTGAGTTCTCTTTATGTATAGCAGATAATAAAAACTGAATGAAGGAAAAGACTTGAATTCAATCCTCTGTTCTGGAAAATGGGGAGTAAATGGTAATTCTGTCCAAGAAAGACTACAGACCAGGTCACTTGGACTGTATGTTACTAGAGTTGGAATGCTACTAGAGTCAGCAGAAGTATACTGGGAAATGGAGCTGCTGGATGAAGTTACCTGGTATTCAGGACAAAGCCAGGAAGAGGAATTTTACTGTCCTTACAGTAACTCTTTCCGATACATTTTAGTGTATCATCTTGAGGCATCAGCATTTCAGATCAACATTTCTTTTTGACCTTCAGTAGATAATGCATAAAACTTGGAGGGGAGCGAATACCCTAACCAGCTATGACCTCTCCGCAGTGACCCTTTAGGGACTTTGTGTTTCAGTCTGGACGCTCCACAAAAATGAATTCAGCTATTAGAAGTCTCTACCCTGTTCTACAACACAAACAGCATTCCATACTAAAAATTTCCGTGGACTGCTCAAGTCATACCAAGTGGCAAAGTCTTTGGGTTTCTCTGGGATATAGGGGATGGGTGGTGTGCAGGGGAAATCGGTAACTAAAAGGTTACAAAAAGCCCCAGTGTTGTTTTCAGTTCTCCTCAAATCCTGAACTTCAGATAAACAAGACAGGAGAGTAGCAGGGTGCTGACTGGGCCTCCTGTACCCCTGTGTGTATCGGAACTGCTGTGTTTAAAACTACACTGCTTCCTACTCTCAACACACATCTTCCTTCTTAGTCGCCTGCTTCCTGTTCAAACCAAAAGTTGAAGTTTCTACAGATGGGTCAGATTTATGATGGGGAGTGGGAAGGAAGGAACGTGTAGGGGCAGCCCGTAGACCATATACACAACATGCAGATCTTCAGCATTTTTATGCTTATTCTCCCCACTAACACGCTGAAGCCCTCATTAGGATTTTTTTTTTCCATATTTTTAAAGAAAAGCCAAAATTCCCGTTAAATGAAAAATAGTGTGTTAAGTTGCTGAGTAGCACTGATGGTTTTTTTGCTCCCTCACACATATGGCTAGCTGAGAATGCATAGCAAGTTCAAGCTTGAAGTGAGTTTGGGTTTTTTTTAAGCAACCAGTATATAACACTAAACATGATTTAATAATGGAAAGACTGGCACAGCCTTAAAGGAATATCATCAAGTAGGCAAGGTATGCTTGTGACTTATTATAAAACAGTTAAATCAAGTCGGAAGCATAATCCAGATTCTTTACATAATTATGGCAGAAGGGTGTGGAAGAAGGAATATCAATTATTTCTTCAACTGGAGAGCTGCTAACAGTAAAAGAAGCAATACATTGATCTCTTCTTTCTCTCACTCTCCTGCAAGTGCCTGTAATTTTTCATTTAAATTAATATTATAGACAACTGGAATGCCAGCTGAACATTTTTCTAACATTGGGCTTGTTCATTTGATGCAGAAGTTAGCAAAATTTGTATTACAATTCTTACCAGGTCAAGCTTGAAATTCTTAGGACAGCATCACCTCTCCTTAATCAAGCTGGTGACAGAAAGTGAATGGAACAGCATTGCTGGTCCTCCTTCCATTGGTAATGAAACATTGCGTTAGTCACCTACAGAAATTGCTTAGTTGTGATGATGCAGTCTGGTATTATGTATGACATCAGAGAAGTGACTGAAAATGGAGAACTTGTTGGTTGTATTTCCACTCAGTCAAAGCTCAAACAATTCCTGCTACAATTAAAAACAGACCATCGTGGCAAACAGCACAAAAGTAAGACTTTTAACCAGTGTTAAGAATTAAATACATATTAAAACACTAGAATAGCGTTCCATGTTTTACAAGTGCTTTTGCTCTGGATTTCTGTGCATAAGCCACCTTGCAATTCCATGGCGAAAGACTGAAATTTCCTTAGCTGCAGTCTCTGAAGTTTAAACCTTTATTCTTAGAGAATGGGACTAGAAAACAGAACTGTGATTTGTACACGCTGGGTTAAGTCTGAGGAATCAGCAGTCCCTTACAGAAGCTATTGAAAGAAGAGGTGTGTCTGTGATTACCAAAGAGATCTTCCGGTGATAAAAGATGAATTGCATCAGCTTTTGGCTCCGAGTGTCAGAGTGACTCAGCAATTCAGAAGAATGTGTTTCTATTTTCTTTCCGGTTGGAAGATGGGGAACCTTCACTAATATTTTCTCTTAAAATGCCATGAAAGAGGCAAAGTGGGGGTTAGATTTGTCAGAAATAGCTTTAACAGCCTTTATTCAAGTACAGGAGCCATACAAAGTCCACTCATACCATTGTAGCACATGCTTTCTGTGCAGTAGGAGAAGGAAATTTGTTCAGCAGCTCAGCAGCCGTTCCCCAGTGAGTTTCCAGCTCATTTCTGCAAGTTAGTACAACACATAGCAGAGGAAATTCAAATTTGGAGTTAAGATTTAATGGTGAGAGCAAACATTTCTGGTAGGTCTGATGATTTGTCCTTTTTTCTGTGATTGTGGCCCTCTCGAACCAGACTTTTTTCCCATTCTGTGGAATTTCAGAGAGAAAAAAATAGAACATCTCAGGAAATTCTCATTACTCACTAGTCAAAATTCACTCTATAAAACATCTTTTTCTTATTATCCTCTCATATTGCCATTACTCAGCGAGAGAATTATATTGACCATTGGTTTAACCCAGCTGGACAGTTCTTGTGGTCTTTCTCCCCTCTAAGCAATGCACCCATAACATGAAGCCAGCCAAGTTAAAGTGAATTTGGCAGCAACTGTGCAAGTTACCTGTGAAAATGCACAATTACGTTCTTTCCTCACAAGAAAGGCTTGTGAAAACTGAGGGAATCTACCCAGATATTTGATCCTGGCCTGCAGAGAATCAGTCAGTTTGTTTTAGAGTAGAATCAGGAAATCGTGTCTCTGTTCCTGAGACTTCTGCTGTTTGTTTGGCTTGTCATTGAGTACAAGAGTCAACATCCAGCTACAGGCACTTTGTATCCGGCCTTTTATCTACACTTCTGCCTCACCATTCAGCATCAGCCGAGCTTGGCACCTCTGCTCTCAAAACTACAGGACCCTTTACTACAGCTCAGGCCACCACATCTCCCTTTCCATTCTGTCGATGCTTTCTAATATATAAATCACTTCCTTGACCACTGCCAGGAAGCAATTACAATCTGTGCACACTTCGACAAGGTATCACAAGACCTTCACTGACTAAATTTCACCATCAGACAATCACAGACCAACCATTTCCTTTGAGCTATGCTACATTCAAAAACTGGTCTTCAAGAACTGGAAAAATCTAAAAGCTACATTTCCAGTAAGGCTTGCTCTTGAAAAAGAACTCGGAAAAGATACCTAACAGCTACAAACATATGGGGATAAAACTGACACAGACAAGAAAAAAACATTCATTTCAATCAATCAATCATTGTCAAATATACAACCGTGTTCCAGAAAGCCTGTTCATCCTCCTGAAATAAGACCTTGCATATTCCAGGTTTTATCCATGAAGTTTGAAAGGAACTCTAAAACCTGTGTTTGAAGTCTGCCATTTCATTTGCATCAAGTTCAGTAAGTCTGAAATAGGTGATGAAATAATGATGAAGTCAAGACTAACTTTTGTGCCCAGTTTGCACAATACAGTTCTAAAACACAATCCATCATCTAATGCAGAAAAGTATCGTAATGCCAGCTCTGGTTTTCAGCAACATGCTGTGTTGAATTAGCATCGAAAGTGATTTACCAGCACAACTGATCAGAACCCCAGTTACTTAGCTTCTGATACACACACAAAAGGCTAAATGACTTTCTGCTTATTTAGCTGATCTTGCTGCAACAGCTTGAAAGCTGGTTTACAACAAGCTGATTTAGGCTGGGCTTCGAGGAGACTGGTTTTCTATGCGAAATACTGGCACCTGATCTGCTGCTACGGTAAGCATGTTCTATTCATGAAACCCACACCAAAAGGAGTCCAAGGTGTTTACAAGGCAATTGCACTTACTTTAATATCAAGGGAGGCTAAAAATCAGGTGTGTTCTATAAGGAGGATTTAAGCCAGTAAAGGCCATAATGCTGCAAAATTGATTGCTAACCCAGCACAAGGTCCATTTACATTTTAAGCAGCTGGAAGTGTGCATTAGCATGCATGTCAGTATATTCTTAGTGGAGGAAATACTTGCTACCCAAATGCAAATACTGTGCTCCATCATTTTCAACATACCAATATGAATTTCAGGGCTAAAGAGGGGTAGAAAGATGTTGCTTAAAAAAAAAACAGAAGTCTCCTTTCTGGCCAAAGCATCACCTGTCTTCTCAAAGAGTTATTTTACCAAAAAATCCTGTAAAGCAGGTAACTGCCAGGTAAACATCACCAGTTATGCTGCATTACAGGAAAAGTGGCAGTGAAAGAAACAGCATACCAGAACACTCATATACATGTTCCATTGTGAAAGAGAAACCACAGGGACCTAACGTAGGTCCCTAACAGAGACCAATCGGCTGTAGGACCCTTTCAAGAAACCCACTGAAGAGCAGTAGGTGAGCTGTTCCATGGCAGGGCCCTGGGGCACTGCAGGTTCTGTGGGGCCAGCTGCAGTGGCAAAAGGCCAGAGAGGCATGTGAGTGCACTTGCACTTGGTCCTTCTGTACCATCTTCTATCTAGAAGAACAGAAGGGGCCCCAGGTCCCAGCACATCTTTCCTGCCTCTGAACAGTGGAATAGTTTTCAACCTTATGCATGTATTTATGGATGTTTACTAGCTCTGTGTCTCTTACTCCAAATACTTGCTTTTCAATTACCAAGAGAAAAGACAGCTCACATCAGCCTCTTGCTTCACAAAGCACACAGTATCTGTAATTCATAAGTGATTGCACTCAGAGACCTGTATTATTTCTTACTCTGAGCACATCAGCTTTTGTAACAGTGTACAGAATCTGTATGCCAAAAACTCACTTCAGCATAAAAGGCCTATCCTCTCCCCTCTCTTTGGTTAGAATGGATTTTCAAGTCTAGTGACATCTTCTCACTAGGGATACTCCGTAGCTGTTCTTCAGCTGTTGTCTTCCTGATATTAATATAATTACCATATTTTGGAAGGAAAAAAAACCAAACCAAAACTTACAGTGAAAATTTCTGTAAAGATACTGAACCATTTACAATATTATAAAAAAAAAAAAAATGAAAATTATTAGGATACATTAAGTTGTCTGCTATCTTATCCCTTATCCCTTCTGCAATGCACAGAGATCCTGAAAGTAGTACTTATGTTCTGAATTAATGATTTGCCATTCAATGCCTTTCAGTCATTCACTGTTGGCTGAGCTGCTGTTAATCCAATGTTCACGTGTTTCAAGTTCCTTGCTTTTACACTAATCACTAAAAGCTAAGGCATTGCACCAGTTCAGCAACCACTACCACACCCAGTTGGACCAACATCAGACATCTGATACCATTTCTGTGTGATGCAAACACGCAGGAGATCAATCTCATTGATTTTTTGAGATGGCTGCCAATTAATCTTAGTTCATTTGTAACTATTCGTAAGAGTTTTGCACCTTTACACCTCTGTTTTGAATTTGAACTCCTATTGCCTGATAGAGTGCTTATTATTATGTCAAAATGGAGAATTGTAAAGAAAAAGCCAAATAAATGCTTTTTAGAAGATCACCACTGTGGATATATGAAACAAATCTCAATCAGGCAGTTTCCAGTTCTCTTCTAGTTTTAAAATTAAGCTTCCTTTGTCTTAATACCATGTTTTGAGATACTGCCATTGAATGTATTTACTAAGTGCAGTTTCGATCTTGGAAACAGAAACGGCCCATCAATTTCGATGAAGAACATGTCTACCACGACAGGAATCCCTGAGTAACCGAGAAAACATTGTCGCGCAGTGTGTTTTACGTAGAAATCAGTATTCCAGGCGCTTTCCAGCAGGGGGCAATGGCACATACAACTGCTTTATCCCACGCCATGAGCCCGGCGCTTCGCAGCGGCAGGGGATTCGCTCCTCAGGGAGCACTGGCAGGACACGCTTCTCCATCAGACAAATTCTACTGCCCAGAGCCATAAGGAAATTCGAGGTTATGACTAAATGTGGTACAGCGACAAGAGTCCCAATGCTATTAAAACTGAAAGCATGATAAAATTCAAATACATTTAATCATTTCCTCATTTTTACTCTTGTGAAACGCAGCTTGGGCAGCACTAGCTTGGAAACTTCCGCCTTCAGACAATGAGAAGTCTTATGAAAAGGGTTGGTAAAAAAAGGAAATAATCTGAGTAATAGAGAGACAGTAGGCTACAAATAACTGAATGGCTGACAAAAATACAGCCAAATCATGTCCTATATTTTGCTTATGATAGAAAAATCCTTTTAAAAATCAATGCAGGATTTTAAAAGCTTGCTGTAACGGAAAAATCTTAGATAGCACTCTAGAAAAGAAGAAAAAAGGTAAAAATGCACCCCCACAATTAAAATGTTCAAGTCAAGTTCTTTGGCTGAGTGTATGCACACACTACATTTCACTTTCTTGTTTATTGCAGCTGCAGGAAGGAGGCTTTTGGGGTTGTTCCTCTGGCCCCAACCCAAGTGCACGCACATGCAACCTCATTGCCAATTTCCCCCAGTTGACAATAGGGAGAAGGGAGGGAAATAAGGGAACAGAGAAAGAAGAGAAACAGGGCTTGGTTTTTTTCCACCCGTGGGCTCTGAAACAGATCTTGGCTACGCTACCTATAGGAAAGATACAATTTCATCTAAACTCATAACATTATAGCATCCCAGTTGAAAAAAAAAACAAACCAAAACACATTTTCATCACTTTTTTACCCTGTAGTTTTGTATGTAGATTCTGTAATCCCTAATTTAAAAGGGTAAACACCTTCCATGTTGAGCCTTGTGTTAGAAGAATAACTCACCCTCGGGACGCAAGACAATTCAGACAGCATATGCCAGATCAGTCCTGGGATTATCTTCTACACGCAAAAAGGTATTCCTGCCAACAGTGTCACATTGTGCTGATTTATTTTCTGTGTGTTTTCATATGCCACTGCAGCATTGCACATGAGGGACTGGGTTTAAAAAGAGAATACCCCACTAACGCATATTTCTTGTTTTAACTGAAGATCCAGATTTGGGTTCTTTTGGGCATATAGAGCTTAAATGTCATTCTAGGCTTTCCTTTCAAAACTGAAATATAGCTGCACACATACAGCAATAAAATATTTAATCTCCCATGTGTCTTAAAAGAACAGCATAATTCAGAAATCCCATCACTAATGTAGAAAGTGTTAAGAAAAAAACTGGTTTGCTCTGTTCTGAGGAACTAAAATGCTTTTTTTTTCATTTCTTCAATATACACTGGGTTGTTAGAAAATTCATATTGAACTGCTAGCACAAAACAGCAATTGTGTTTAAAGCCACCAATTCTTACTACCATCTATTAATAAAGAATAAAATTGTAGGATCTATTTCTGATATTCTTCCCTAGAAGTTCATATAAAGAAATTAAGATATAGATTTCAAACTCTGGTATTGCTTTCCCTCCTCCTTCGAGCAGGAAGAAAAGCGATCAACAGAAGCTGCAAGGCAGTTTGATCTTTGTTACATTGGGACTATGGAATCTAAGCAACTCTTTTACAAGGCATTGTAATTGTTTGTACTTGCAAAACTGGATTAAGAAATCACTGCTATTCTTAAAACACATTTATCACATACATACAAAAGTCAGCATATTCCAGTGCGAGGGGAGCTGCAGCCAACCAGCGCAAGCTGCGGTGCACCACCCACAGCAGCGCTCATCCTCCCCTTCCCCAGAGCAATCCTGCATCTGGCCAGGGGAACGGGGGGAGTTCGCAGTGTGTCTTCCCAGGGTACACCTGCCCTGCGGATGACCCGTGGACATCCCAACTGTACTGTGTTGGTACTGTCACAGTTTACAGAACCCTCTGTGTGATTACTGAAACAGACATTAAAAGCTCTGAATAAAGAAGGGGTGAGCTATGGGAAGATTAGGTGTGTTTAAGGCACAAGTCCTGTCTGATTTTAAAGGCATTGGGAATTAAAGCAGGGGCACTGAAGTCCTTCGCTGGCTGAGACGAGGAAAATATCAGGCAAGAGTAAGGGGGGTTCATCACACCTGTGGAATTTATAAGTTTGGGGCTTTACTGAACTTCTCAAAGTTCTATGAAATGTTTTTTTCCTGGGTTTTAAATCCATTTGTTCTTTGGTCAAAGCTTAATTTAAAAAACATGTCTTTTGAGTGGAAGTCTGACTAATTCTGTTGTGAATGCTGCTGAAGATGAGCAAAACTGACACTATGATTGAGGAAAAAAGGGAAAAAAGCCTCATGTATAAACAAGAGGCACAATCAGGCTAGAGCCTCAGTTATGAGGCTATAGCTCCCCTTTTTGTTAGGTGACCCAAAATCAGCACCCATACAGCTAAAATCTGTAACAGTCTGTAAGGAAATCATAATGACTAGAAATCCAGAAGCTGGAGTTTCTCTACTCATCTATTTGCTCTTCCTATTTCTTTCCTTATTCTCTGTCTGTCTCTTCTGTTTCCCCTTCCCAGTGAAGTATCCTCATTTAGATTTTATGCTTCCAGCTCCTTACTGGTACACTCTCCCTTACAGTATAAGAGCATTCCCAGTCCTTTAGTACCATTATCTCTGCCACGTTGCTTCTGACAGGAGTTGTGGTTGATGGCCAGGCCCAGCCTCAGTGGCAGGTACACTATTCCTTCTCCAGGGAAGATGAGGAAAAAAAGCAGGATGGATATTCTCTTTCCTTCTTACCACAACCCTTCTGTCCTTCTCCCATACAAGAAAACAACTCCTGGGAAGTAGATCAAGCATCAGTCTGCCTGATGATGAGAAGCAGTCCTGTGCATTTTGGTTCCTTCTGTCACTGTTCCTATATTTCCAGAAACATCTCATGGGTATTCATGATATCACAGTCTATTTTTCATATTAGAATGCCTCTTGATGACTTTAAGCAGTTGTGATTCACTGCCTATAATCAGGATGTCCTACTATTTTTCGTAGACACTCACGGTATCCTCTACTTTAAATTGCATTTCTTGCTACCTATGGCCTATAGCAGGTTGAGAATCGAGATGTTCATAGTTCCCTTTCTCCTCCAATGTTTGAATTCCATCCTCCTCTCCTTTACCTCCATATGCATTCTTCTTTCACAAGAAAAGCCATTGTAGACTCCCCTTGCCCAAGAAAAATGCATTTTCTCAAAGGAACCTTCATTTGAGCTATTGGAGTCAAAATATATTGTTATGCCATTCTTGCTGGCTAAGAATGCTGCTTAGCCTTACCTATATTCTGCCACTGCCAAAGAAGGAAGTCTATTTTTTTCCCCTCTTGGCAACTCTTCGGGAGGTACACTATTGTGTTCCCAGAGTACTCGTTCTCAAAGCCTATTGTGAAAACTGTAGTAAACAGAACTCTCAGCATCAGGATACAAGAAACAGGATCCAAGGCTGAAACTATTTGCCAAGAGTGGATGTGACCGCTGCCCCATTCAATCCTGGATGGTACAACAGTTCATCTTAGCTGCTAGATATAGCACATTCCATAATGAGGAGGACAAAGGTGGCAATTCCTGAGAAACCATGTTGCTGGAGAAAACAGTGTCAGGATGTAAAAAAAATTTCCTTTCCATCAGTATATGAAACAACGGATCTCAGTCACAGAGATGGGCTGTGGGCTCAATTTGTGTCGGCATATTTCCATGTACTGTTGTGGAGCTCCATGATTACGACAACTGAGTTGCTGACAACTGAGAATTTGGCCAACAGATTGCAATTGAAATACTCAGAGTATTTCAATTAGCTTCTCTGCTGCTTGGCAGAACATGTGATGTCAGACATGCCAAATGGTTCCCATTTATATAAAACTAGAGAAGAACCAGAAAGTGGCAAATCTAAACATTTAGAAAGCTAAGATTAAATACAGAGTTTCACAGAATTAAACTATAAAGACAAAGTGTTGCTGTGAACAGCTCTGGAGGCATTGATGGTCTTTCATTTAGATTATGGAAGGAATGAAGGAAATGTACAGGGGAGAAAAAAAAACCAACCAACCAACCCAGATGATAAAGGTGATGTTAAGAGAAAGGTTACATGGATTTTACTATTCAATATACTATTTAACATAGTGGAAAGAATGCATCAAAGCAACTCCAGACAAAGTCAAATAATTGCTTGGTACTACGAATCTTCAAAAATTCAGGCACATAAAGAAAGATATTGTGGATGTTAAAGACAGAAAGCATTATTATCTGATTTGATCTCCCACATAATACAAAGACATAGAAACCTCCCCAGGTATTGCTCTAGCAAGCCTTTAACTATTTCTTGATAATCAACCATATCTTCTAGATATCTATTAAAACTTGGTTTGCAGGCTCTGGGTAGTCATACATCACTCTCTGGATGACTGGTTCCAATTACGTTCTTACTCTGAATTAAATATTACATCTTTTACCTCTTTCTCCAGTTTCCAGTGCTAGAAGAGCCCTCCCTGCATACATAGTTACTGAGTCAAGTGACCTTTGCCTTTTACAGGTTGGTCCAAGTCCCTCATATCTACAAGTCGTAACAATGCTGTAAAGTGTAGTGCAGCTCTCTTACTGTCTCCTAACAGAGCTTCCTACATACCATTACACTTAAACTGTTATCAATAGTCCTCCAGTGGTCTTTGCAACGGAGGAGCCCATTTAAATTGTTAAGTAATTTAGAAAACATCACTTATTTTTACTAGTACTCCATCTTTTCTTATCTCATTGGTAATTCTTTGGTGGTGTTGAAATCAAGCATAAAGGTGCTCCTTTTATGTCTAAATGCTCCTTTATGTCTATAAATCCACTCTGGCACACACAGCCAAAACAGAATACTACCTCAACAAAATCTTTCTGCTTCTGTACAGAAAGATGCCAGGACCTTTTCTCAGCCTTAACACTTTATCATAAGCCACCAACAAAGAAAGCAGGCAAAAATACCTGACACGCAGTTATCCAGGGGAAACGATAAGAACACCTCAGTGTGCACAGAAAAGGAGAAGGTTTGGAGAAAAAATTGTCCATAAGAAGGACAAGTTGAGGGTCATTTTCAGACACAAATTAACACATGAGCAAAGCAATTGTATCGGAACTTAATATCTTTAGAGAAGCTACTTCTCTTACTTCTTGAGTTTGCCATTTCCTAGCATCTTCCCCTCCCTCACAGTTAGGAAGTGTGTGCTTAGAAGTCCAAGCAAAAGTTGTCACTCATCATTGCCATTTTTGAAGGTGTGAGATGTACGTTTTAAGTTTCAGTTCTGTCTGCTTCTAGCTTTCAGGCAGGCACCTATAGTTCCATAGGAGTCTGAAACAGCTTTCCAGAGTTGGGAAACAAAGTTGCAGACAAGAACTTGTCTGTTTTCCATAATGCACTGCAGACCACTAACCGAAACAGAGATGGGGCAAAGCACCCCTCAGAGGCTACCCATAGTTGTGAGAAAATGAGCAAGAGATTATATTCTGCTCATCTCACTGTCAGACATTAAAATGAAGTCTTGATTCCTGCACTCATTGATACACACATACAAATAATGACATTAATGGAAGTTGTTTCATGGTAGTGACATGTACAAATGTGGAGTTGTGGTCGAAGTGCTGGTACTACAATGCCACTTTTAATCCACAAGATCTTCAGTAACACAGAAAACTTCCTCAACTCTTGTATCATTCAGAATACAGCTCTATCCTGTAAGGAAGTCCATAAACAGGTCAAATC